TACTGCGTGGTCATCTTTGCAAATACCATGCCTGTAACCGAGGGATGAAGTGTTGGATTGCAAACAGAACAGAGATAATTATTACGTAAAAATACGGATTTATGGAGAGCAGGCTCAGTTTTTTTCTAAAGAAATCATACAGGAATTAAGGTGTTATTTTCAACTTAACTGGCCAATAAAATAGTTCTAACTCAATAAACGATGTAGCTCCAGTTATTGCCTCAGCCAAGGAGATAATGATTTCATCGGCATTTGTTGTTTGTTGGTTGGTTGGTTGTAACTCAAAAAGTTATGTACGGATTTGCATGAAAAAAAAATAGGAGTGGTCCTTGGTATAAGCACTGATCGATTAGATTTTGGAAGTGATCCGGATCTGGGTCTGGATCCAGGATGGTTATGCGAATATTTCTTTTGGGTGTACTGACAATATGGCGGGAAAGTGTTTAGCCTCGGAAGTTTGCGTTCCCTGAGTGCTTTCTAGTATGTGTAGTGTTATTATAATTTGATACAAGGAATAGCAAATTATAAAAGAATAAAGAACAACTTCATTCACCGTTTATGATCGGTAGATGGCAAGTTTAGGGCGAGTTGGGGATACGTTATCAGTCTGGTTTATGAGGGGGAAACGCGCAGAGCGTAAATCCATGAATAGCTGTTTCCTCAAAGCGAAAATACAAATTGGCGTTAAGCACGACTAGTTTAAATGAAAGCCGGTCCCATACCTATTACATTGGGGATGTGTGTTACCGCAGGACGACCTTGCTATTTGAGTACAGAATGTTATAGCAGCATACGTCAATGAAACTTTAAAATGAAAAAAGAAATAACCTTCGGTATTAACAATAATTGTAAAATTGAATGAAAAAGTGCACACAACTCCTGGCAAGCATACCTGAATAACTTTGCCATCATTGTCATGGCCGAGGTTCATTGCTTTTGGGCTAAGCTTCCATCATGGCGTGGCTCCACTGGCGCCATTGTGCTGATATCATGGACATGTCATGATTTTAGATAGTTTAGAGAACTATCGATTCTGCACAGCGTGAAAATTAAAAAAAATACCTCTTCGAAAGTTTGTAGTGTTTCGGTGCATATTCCCTTAAATATTTTGCGCTATATAGAAATAACTTACAACCACAATCGACAGTAAAAATGCAACGCATTGGTATATTAAAAATCTTCCCTTTGAAGGACCATCAGAATAGCGCTTCCCATGCACAGGTTTTGAGCCTTTGCAGGAGTCGTTAAAGATATATGCTGCAGCTGCCCATCGTCAACATTTTACCAAATTACTCCTACATATTCTTTGGACAACCGCAAATGACTGGTTTTGACTTATCGAGATTTCACTGTATGTTTACCTTTATGACACTCTTGAACTGCCCCCAAAAATATGGGAAGGCAGAATGATTAGTTTCTGAGATCTCAATTTTATTTTTCTAAACTCTCTTAGCCCATGAGAAAAATTAGGCCTGCCTGTGATGTTGCAGAGAGATGCAATTGCCATGAAATGTTCTATTTTGTATGAAAAGCCTGCGTTCCGATATATTTTTTTTTTGTACTAAAGGACAGAGAAATCTTTAAAGTTTGGCCCTCACCTTGGAGTCAACTTTCCATCGGTCAGTGCCAGTGAACTGCCCCTTATCTGAACAAAATTTTCACCAAGGCCTTACTCTTCGTTATCAGATTGTTTTTACCTTGTTCTAATCCGTTACGATAGCGAAAAACAAATCCCACAGTAGCTGATCTATAGGTGGGGGTTGCACCCCCCCCCCCCCCGTCACCTCCCCCCCCCCCAGCTCAGCAAGTGACTAACGTTTTAACCAATAAAATCAGCGGGCCAAAAATATTATACGGAAAGCTAACATTCCTACAATTAGGTCTTCTCTCAAATTATAAATAATAATAATAATATCTAATTCTTGTATAGCGCCAAATCCGTCAAAATTGACGCTCAAGGCGCTTCACAGAAATAAAAATGAACAGGTTAAAATTTAAGAATAAACTAAAACTTATACAAGAATGCAGGAGAAACCATCGGTATTTTTTTTTTAAAAATATTCCCAGGGGGACATACCCCGGACCCCTCCCCCTTGCCTTCCTCAAACCTGAAAGCTAGATTCGCCTCCTGCCTGCCTCATATGCGGACACAATAGGAAGATGTGTGCGTGTGTTCACGCACACATCTTCCTATTGTGTCCGTCGTAATATCAAAAGGCCAATGAACGCACAGTTCCATATTCCATCATTGTATGAGGATCATGTTTATCAATTGATTTTATTCTCCTTTGCAATCATCGTTGCTGGGGGATAATTTAAACAAAATATTGGGTACAAGCCTTCACAAAAAAAATATTATTGTTTTTGAATCCAAAATCAAGACAATGCATGTCTTTGTGTGTTGGTAATCGAGGAGGGATGATAAAGGCCTCCTTCAAGCGATTTTTACCCCCGAAACCTAAGTCCCATGATCAAGTAGACTAGAGTTGAAACAAGGCTCCTCGCAGCGCACCGTACGCTACAGAATGAATATTAATGCAACTCTACTCATTGACATGAAACAATAACGACTTTTGTCAAGACTACATCGAGGATTAAAGAGGGGCCCTGGTTTGTTTGTTCTAAGAGGACGAGTCTCTGCCTATCTCTTTGTTATCATCCCAGCGTTCAATGCTCCCAATAAACACAACAAGATAATACAATGGCCACGTCGATGAACAAATAGTACATGAAAAGATTACGATGTGGTACCGGTACTGAGTATAGTAAAATAGTTTATAGAAATATTCTGTTGAGACCCCTGAATGTTTTGTTTTTCGCAGTTGTTGATATTTATATTTTTCGCACCAAAATAAAAACAAGGGGGAAATGCAGTTGCTACGCGAGGATTGCCTCACAAAAGCTGCATTTTGTTTGATTCCGGCTTTTATAAATAATTAAAATTAATTCAAAAGAACATGATAATTAGGAAACACTAACAGAAAAAAACTGACGCAAACTCGTCTGACCCAAAACGGAAAGAGCTATGAAAAATTGATAAGTACAGTGAATTGATGTTTCTTTTGAGTTTTCGGGTCATGTACGAAGTATATGGAATGCTCTGCTGTATGTTAATGGTTCTAGAACAATCTCAAAATGCTTGAGGGTGTCTTTATAATAGTGCTTTTACAACATCTTTGGCGAGTAGGCTTTTTTCACTGTTCCGCATGTACTATTATGGAATCCTAATTATTTGTTTTTCAGGCAATATTGTCTATAAATATCCTCCTCAGAGGAGAGATAATATCGTAAAGCAGTTTTATTGCTATTGAGGTTCAATTTTATACGTACATCCTCCCTTGGCCCAAATACAGACCCGGCGCAAAACCTCTTGCGCAAGGAGGCTTTGTCGGACCCAGCCACGTGTTTCTTCCCTTAGGAACTACCCAAGCGAATTTCCGGAAAATCATGCCACCCGCCGAAAGTAGGATATCCGTGTATTCTTCATTTATAAAAAAAAGTTTTCCCCATTGTTTTAAACTCGTTTCTCTTCAAATGTCAAAGATGGAATGCACAAGGCAGTAGTAGTGACCAAGGGCGGATCCAGGGGGGGGGGGGGGGCAAAGGGGGCCATGGCCCCCCCCCCCAAAACGAAACCATTTTTTAATTTTTTTTTATGTGACATCGCAATAAAGGCAGGCAATGAGTACACCACCATCTTTTCCTCAAAAAACATTGGTTAAAGTGGTCAGAAATTGCCTCAGATCGCACCACAGAGCGTCTAGAATCCACTTTTTTGGGGGACCAATTTTTTTTTTGGCCCCCCCCCCCAAAAAAATTGTGTTCTGGATCCGCCCTTGGTAGTGACCTCAACAATATTCGTCTGTATTGAGAGAATATATAGCCTACACAACTTAATTAGTACACATCGCTTTTAGTTCAGTTGTGGTGGGCTGAATTTTGATCAAGTCAAGATTATGCACAATTCTGTTTGTTTGAAACATGGGTACTATACCGATCAGTGACACTATGATTGAGACAAAAACCAACATCATGGCTGAGAAAATGAATAAGTAATGTCCAATTCCCATTTCAAGAGATTTTGAAGGCGAAACCGTTATCCTATAAATATTTCGCCACGGAACAAAAAAAATATTACTACAATTGCACGAACGCCCCTAGAAACTTAGATATAGAGCCACCAGTGAGAGATATGGCTCAAAAAGAAAAGAAAAAGGAGGGAAAATTTACAGGGCAGTTCACGTTAGACCATAGCCTGCTATAGGATTATTTGCAAATAAGACAACAATATTATTATTGAGGGTCTGTCATACATGTACTTTTACTAAAATTAAATAGCGACGGGACCAAGAACTGCGCCGACTCGGATGCGACGAAAGACACTAGACAGTGACTGACGGGACTGAGACACTGATATTGTCTTAATTATTTTAAAGGAATTTTATATGCAATGAGTAATGTGTACAGAAACGGAGTGTATTTTTAGCACTGCCGCACTTGAAAGCGATATAGAAATAGGCATGACTTTTGAAATCGTTGATCTGTGACCATAACAGTACGGCGCATTGCGCCGAACCCGTCCCAACTGGCCGAACAAAGGATCCGGCATTTCAATTGGTTTAGTCACTGAAGAGCAGGTTGTTTGTGTTCATGGTAGCCTTTGTTAGCGAGGCCTGGGAATATGAACCACAAATTTAATCTGAATACGCACGGTATTCAAACCAAAGGCTATTGGATGTTATGAAAAAAACATAATAAAATCTGATCACATGGTGGTTTGGAAGGGAAGATCCAGTCCGAACCGGTTCCATCCACTTTACTATGCAGCGTGCGCGTCTATTTATTTTTCATCGAATCACGTACACGTACGGGCAGCCCCTGGTGATAAGGCTTAGGTCGGGGAAGCCCTCGCCCTGACGTCACGCCAATCCAAAGTCCTGATTGGCCGAGACGCGCTGTCATCGCCGCAACGGGATTCCCGTTGCCAATCAGCTGATTCAAGAAGCCGCTTGCAACTTTGCACAGTGACATGATGCAATAGCGCAAGAGAATATTTGCTCCATATCTGGTAGATTCAGCGATCGCTCGCAATTTTCCGTTAGCTTCGCTACCCATACGATTTAGAGCTCTTGGTGCTTGTATTCTGAGCTGAAATTTGCCGAGAAAAATATCAACAAACATCATGGACACCCAGCAGAGAGTAACTGAAAAGCTGAAGACGCTGATGGGGCTGATCAGCGCGAAGTGGGGGTGTGTGGTGACGCTGGCCGCCGCCTTCATCTTCCTAACCTGCTTCGGGACGCTGTACTCCTTCGGCATCTTGCTAATCGAGCTTCAAGAGGAATTCGGCAGCGGTGCCTCCGAGACATGTAAGTTAAAACATTTAGGCACATTTGCAGAATATCCCGCCTCTCGATCAGTAATAGCTCTTAAATTCACGGATTCCTGATAATTTCAAGTTCTACGAGTAATCGAGGAATAAACCTTTCGGGTAAAAATTTACTATCAGAGCAGATTTTAGACAATACTGGTAATGGAGGTATACTATCATGACTATAGCCTATATTTGCCTCATCTCTACCTGCAATTTTGAGCTTTTTCATCCCCAATTATTTTCTGATCATAATTATCACTGTACACCTGTTTTCGAGAAGTAAAGTAAGACTAGAAGACTAAGATATTTCGCCGTTACTAGCTCAATTCAAATTAAAGCCTATAACTTTACCTCCTGACGTGCATAACTATACATTATAATATCAATGATATCACTTTATAATACTGCATATGTTCCGTCTTGAATTTTTGCCATCCGCCACTGACAATTTTAAATGGGACGAAGACAGATGGAAACTGTTAATTCTGCTGGCATTATGCGTAATATCCTGTGCAAAATTGGGCCTTCCTTCGAGGCAATTTATGCAGTTTACTAAATCATGACGCATATTACGCAACTACCCGCAACATATCACTCGTTACATTTTGTGCGGCTTTGGATAATTTGTAAAGACATGTCCTTGACAAAATATGCCATTAATATTTTCTGTACCATCAACTTGCATCTCTCAAAAGCATTATAAGCGAGTACATGTTAATTTAGTGATGATTCCTCCATGATATTACAACATCCGTGTCCGTACATGCATTGACCAATTCGTTATGAAACTGCTGCTCGCGATAGGTGTGCTGGAAGATCGATACTTTCAGTTTCGCAATACTTTCGTCAGACGAGATCTTGTGATCTGGCCTAACAATAGCCCTAACAATGAGCTATGTTTATACACGGTTTAAAGCATATAGCGGTTTACTGTAATACCGTGGGCTGATCGTTCAGGCGGGGCATATGGTTTTGTACCGTTGCCTGTCTGCGGTTTTTGCGGTTTTGGATCCCGTGACTTTTTTTGGGCCTCACTGCCGCCGCACCCTGCCGCCAGGATCGGCCAAGGTTTGTTGACAGAGCACGGTACCCCCTACCTGTCAGATCACGGTCGTGTCAGACCGCCTCTGGGAATCTCTGTGGTTTTATGTCCAAAAACTCCAGGTTGTAATTACAGAGCATCATTAAAATGTTTTCGGCACAATATTGTTTTGAACATAAATTCATTCCACGGCGGTGAATTTTGATCGAATTCAAAGTCAAAACCCTAAAGAGTAATGTGAGTCTATCATATTGAGTAAGGAAATTTATTCATGTTCTCAACTATACAAAACAAAATTTTGAACTTCAAAAACTTCAGTGCATGTGTGATTTCTAAAAAAAAAACATTCGCTGGGTAAAGGAAAACGACAGAAGGCTAGAACTTATTAACAGGAAATTAAAGATCCATGGATTTTATTGATAGGCCTACACATCTTTTTTACACTCTTGTTGGATGAGAAATGTATATGACGGGCAAACAAATATAGTGGCAAATAATGTTTCTTCAAAGTTTGTTTACAAATGTACCAAAACATCCACGTTTGTAAATACTTAAATATAAATAATCAAAAACCACGGGGATCAAAATGCAAGTCCAAATATAATACTTTTCCGACAACAAAGCACTAAGGCTCCATTTTTATCTTTCACGAGTTGGGTACGTGCCGTCCGCACTCACTCCGCAGTAGTTCGCCCGATAACGCGATTGGACCCCGGCTGATGAATAATTCATGTATATCGCATTGTCGCTGGGGAGGTTAGGATCCTAATTTGCATACAAAGCCTCGTCCGCACAATACATACATTATTCCAAATTCACCATTGTTCGTGTTCCACACCCATAAGGCTGGTTATCCAGGGTACCTTACCTTCACGAACATTAAACCGAAGCAAATCAGCCGTCACAATGTTTAGTCATCTCCTTGTTCCTGATATCCTGGAAAATAATCCTTCACAGATGCTATTTCCTTAAAAAAAAATCCCCCGAAATATTTATGGGCAGCAAGGGGAAAAACCATGTACATTCCTCGGACAATGCGTGTTTAAAAAATATAACAGGGTTTAAAAAAATTCTGCACAAGCTAGAGGTAAACTTGAATACTTTTACACAGAAGTTCGAAAATTGTTATCTATTCAATGTTTTTATAAAACTTTGTGATAATTTTTTCGCAGTTCCTAGCGGAACGGAATTTGTTCAGACTTATGTACCATATTAATGATTTAACTGGCTGAAATCGAATTCGAAGTAGGCCTATACGTTTGAATTTGAATTTGTTGCATTTGAACATTGAATTTGACAATTTAGAGGTAAAGATAAGTTACTTGAATTTATGAAGGCAAAGATTTGCTTAGTTCAGTAAATTATTTTATCGGTGATGAAAATGGATCAAGTACTGAGTGATCGATTACTTCATTTATTGATTGATGTTGCTTAATTCAATAATTGGCTGACTTATACTATAGATCAATCGATCAATTTATTTGCTTCCTTGATTGAATCAATTTGGTATGTATCAAATCTGTTCCAGGATAAATGAAGACTCGGTTTGCTTTATTGATTGATCGATTTCCTTACCTTGATCAACTTACTGATCGATTGGTTAATTCGCTCCAGTGGTTGAAAACTTATTTCATTATACGAGTTTCTTGATCGGTGCTTGCGGGTTGATTGCTTCATTTATTGAAAATTTTACCTTATAGATTAATTGACCAACTGATTGATTTTCTCGTATGATCGATTTGCAGCCTGGATCGGCTCCATCGCCATCGGCCTGCACGCCCTGGGGACGTTCGTGTCGAGCGCCCTCGTGCGGCGCTTCGACAACCGCCCCGTGGCCGTCGCCGGCATCTTCCTGTGCTTCGGCAGCGTCATCGTGACGTCACTCATGCCCCTCCTGGAGGTCCTGTACTTCACCTTCGGGGTCGTCTACGGAGTGGGCATCAACTTCATCGTCATCTCTTCCATCAACCTCATTCTCCGGTACTTCCCGACTAAGAACTGCTCGCGAGCAACTGGGGTCGCCCTCACAGGCTCGACAGTAGGTGGGTTGCACACTTTTCGGATATCTTTCGTGCTTACCTTAAAAAAAAATCCAATCTTAAGGTTTTCTGTGTAAGCGTAGCTTTGGTCTACTTAAATTAAAGGTAACATTAAAATGTATCCGTTCACGTCCCTTGTCATTCAAGTCATTCGCATTAGTTCATGGGGATTCTATACATACGGCCATTTTCACCATTTTCATGCACCGACAGATTTGGTAATGGTGTCATCACAAACCATCGCAAATCAATTTCAAGCCGTCCGTCTCAAGTCAAAAGAGCAGCTTTAAAAAAAAAGAAGTACTTTCGTCATTTCCATTAAAAAAAAATCTAGTTGCGACTTGTGACTCAATTTTTGATTAAACTTTTTAGTGACTTCCGACAGTTGATTCGTGATCGTCTCTTTAACTCGTCTGCGCCTGCACTCTAAAAACTACCCGGAAAAAAATGTGTTCAAAAGTTGTTTGGAAGAAAACTCAGGACTGTTCGGATAAAATAACAAAATCTAAAATGAAATTCCACTGCCTGAGATTAAAGTTAAAGTTCGGCCGACAGACCATGCAACAGATGTGAGGTTACTTTGTGGCAAAAGGAAAGATTTCCCTACGTGAAAAATCTTTCTTTTTCCCACGTCCAACTCACAGAGCTTGCCAAAATCCATTTGCAAAAATCCATTTCCCACAATACCGGTGGCCTACAACACCATGGGCATAAAGTACGAGGTGGCGGTCATTGTTTTGGTCCATTTTGCTTCGAGTGAATAACCAATCAAATACCGAAACAACTTTTTCACAGGCAAGGGACGCAGCCAATCAAATGTTTGGCTCTCGGTCACGTGAACCATACGGCGCACAAATCAACCAATCGGCACTTCCGGAATAATTCCGGAGTATAGAAAAAAATTGTAGTTTGGCACAACGGGTAGCTATATGAACGTCAAAAGTATAGCTGACTAAACTGCAACAGTTATATTTGGATCTTCTTATTTTGTGTTAAAACCTCGAGTTCGAAAATCCCCAATGAAGAAACTCCTGAACGTGGGATATCAAATGCAATTAGTGTTAACCGATAACTATAATGACCTTGTACTTTCGAACCACTGTCTGAGTCGGGTTAAATGTCTGTAGACACAAGGGTAGATTTGCCTTGCAGAAATTTATCATCTGTATTTACTCTTGACCACCCTTTATTTGATCTACGAATAAAATGTGTAGACCTAGTCCTTGGACTGTGATATAACGTAAAAGTACACTCAAAACCCGGGGTTGAAAGACAAACAAAGTTTTAAAAGGGACAGAAAATACGTATTACAAATAGTTTATATTGTCGGGGTCAAAAAGTGACAGAGATGTTGCGATAAAGGTCAAGTCTTTTTTTTGTCCTTTACTATTTTTAAACGTGTCTGGACCTAGTTCAGTTATAAAGGTTTTGAAAACCACGAATTGGGTGTCCGTTTGGAGATAAGTTTACTATTTAGTGCACTCAGTGTAATTAAGTTACAAAAAATATAGAAAATATAGAATATTAATTAGTTCTTGGCAAACTTAGTGATAATCCTCATTTTGATAGCGAGTGAGAAGCCTTAAGTGCGTTATACATGTAGTTAAATAAGTTTCGTTCTGTTTCTGTAAATTTCATTTTATATAAGTTATTCAGTTACCTTGTTTTATGAATTTAATTTCATGACACCTAACTTATCTTTGTGAAAACAACTGAACACGTTTTATGAATGTAATTTCTGTTTGACGTGATAAATAAATAATTCCCCGTGTGTACCCTGTCCCCTTTAAGTTCTTTTCTTTACATTTTCTTCGTTGTACGGTCATTATTCTGAGAGAAACCCAAAGCCTTTGCGACGAGAGTTTGCATGTCAATTCTTAAAATTGCAAAATCTCGGTCGTGTTTCTGGCAAAGGGTTTTCTTTACTACGCAAACCGTACAATACCATGACCTGCCCGCATACCAGTGGATGTTTCAAAGCCAAAACTTTATTAGCCCAATATCTAATCTCTCTCTTTTATATCGTTCAATTTCTGCATTCCTGCTAGAGCCCCATTGCTTCTTTACAGCATGGGTGTCTCCTGCAGCCTAGGTTTCACACCTGGAGACGGAGACTACGACACGGTAAGAAATGCAGGCTACCGCCTGAAGAAGAACGTTTGATGGGTTGTCAAGTCTAGACGCGTGTCCAGCCTGGACCTGCCTCACAATGCAAGTTGACGAAATCTAGAAACTCGCGGAAGAGGAGTGTCTGTCTTCATTCAAAAGAGCCGCAAGACGTCGGGGAACCCGACCTGACGTATGACAGTCGCCGAGTTGACTTGCCTCGTCAAATGGCGCAGCAAAACTTCGAAGAGGTTTTGCGGCTATACCAAAAGGAGTAACCAACAAACTCTGGGCAGATACTGGCTTCAGATCCCGCCAGAAAGTACGCTGAAAGAAAGTCCCGACGCTCAACTCGGAGTTCATCCCATCACTCCACCATCCAAATCCATTTCCATGAATCCCAACTGTAACCTGAGAACTTTTCCCTACTCGACAGGAATAAACCACACACTGAATGACAACACCTGTTTGTTTTAAAAGAGAAGTATAATACACGGTATGTATCAAAGTATAACCGTAGCACCAACATATGTATCTCACTGTGTTGAACTAACCCATTGTTGCCTTTTCCCTCTATCGCAGCTTAGCGGTATCGCCTCGATATCGCACCCAAATGCCGCGTGGTAGTGGCATAACAGGTGCGCTTACACCTGCGCATCCAGCATTGTTCCCGGAGCTACAGGGGACAGAAACAGGCACCAGTTGATCGAAACTCATTTTCTTCTCCTTTCTTTTACCTTTCCGGTATACAGGTATGCTGATCATGAACCAAGTGGTGCACCACTTGATCATCGCCTGGGGTTGGCGCAACATGCTCCGCGTGGTGGGCGGGATTCTTCTGATTGTCTGCGTGCCCTGCGTCAGCACCTACTCACAGCCGTCCTCCAAGAACCTCGTGCTTGCCGACTCGGTAGCTCCCCCGGAAGATGAGGAGGGAGAAAGCACGGAGAAGGCAGACCAGGAGAAAACGATCGTTGATGAGGAGAAGCAGAGATTGAAGGAGAAAGAAGCCGAGGCGGTTGGGGAGGAGGATGGCGTCGCAAAGACCGGGAGGTGCGAGCGGCTCCGTAACATCGCCTACCCCGAGCTTTGGTTTCTGTCTATCGGCATCATGGGATGCTGCATGACACTGACGTTCTACTACGTCAGCATGGTAAGATTTTGGCAGTACATGTATGATTCTGCAACACAGAGCGCAGTTGAAAAATGTAACACTACTATAAGTGAGTGATATCACGCGATTTCGTAAGCACCGAGCCTTAGTGAGGGCATTTTAAACGGTACTGATATGACACGCACGCTTCGATTCCATAAACTTCGGGCCTACCTTATACGTTTTCGCAAAAAAGGTACAGTTTCGATGCAAGATGCCGGAAAATGTTGCGTTTCTTTTTCCATTGACCTTGCATAGGCGTACTAGAAATTCACGGATCGTAGAGTAGGCCTATGCAGCACAAATGACGAACATTTAAAAAGTGCTTTATTCGATTGAGTTTGAAGATGTGCAAGGCATGAAATTCTTTACCAGTTAAAAATCGAACATTTCACGGCTGTGACAAGCATAGAAAATATTTGAAAATTTATGATCTTCAACTCACCTCGGTGGATATTTTTTTGATCCTACCTTTACAGGTCAGCTTCATGACAACTAAAGGATTCGACAGATCGGAATGCAGCCTTTTTATGATGGTGCTGGCCGTATCAGAGGTCGTGGGCAAGGTCATCATCTCGGCCGTGGCCGACAGCCTGCCTTTCCCTAAGATCTACCTGTTTGTCATGGCTAGTCTCCTCGGCGTCGTCGTCATGGTCGTGCTCCTGTTTGCCACAACGCTTGGAATGATGCTCGGGCTTGCAGTCGGTGAGTGAACGATTGGAGTTGGAGTCTGGTGAAAATAAAAATGGCGCTTTAACAGCGCCCTCAAGTGATCAAATATTTAGCCAGCTGTTCTTTGTAACAATGGACTCATTTCCATTTTTTTCCCCTTTTTGTCTTCCTCCTTTTTTTATTTGCAGCTTCTCTTAAAACTAACCCTCTTTTTCCCCACAGTTGCCGGTCTGCTCGTCATGGCAGTCTTTGACACCTTGCCTTACTCCATTTGCGTCGAGATCTTCGGCTCCGCTAGAGGGCTGGACACCAGTTCGGTTGTCATCATCATGAACGGCGTGGGGCTCATCCTGGGCTCGCTGCTCGGTAAGGCCTAATTCCCTGGGGAGGATCTCGTTGGTCCTTGATATTATAGTTAAGACTTAGCTCACACTTGTTCCCATTATTGTATCAAAGAGCAATGGTGGCAGCTAATTTATCTTTGGCCCTCATTGGATGGATCCCACGCCAAAATAAATGTCGTACTAATAATGAGAATTCACAAAATAACGGTTTTGTTTAACGCTTTTTTCCCCTCCCAGGTATGAGCGTGGACCACACGGGTAACTACGACTCCGCCATCTTGGCCAGCATAGGCATTTACTGCCTGTCCGTTCTGCTCTATCTCGCCGTACCGGTCTACCAGCGACTCTTCGCCAAAGACCGGTACGTCATGGTCCGCAACCGGCGCAAGGCGCTGCTGCTCGTGGCCGACGGTCCCGAGCGAACCTTCGCCCCTTCGCCTCTACCTTCACCCGAGTACATCTACTTGGACATTGTCAGTGTCGTATGACACGCCACGGGAAAAAAAGACCAAATTAAATTGAAGGGATATACTTAAACATTGCCAGTTTTATATATTTTGAAAGAATTTTATATACATGTGTATATATAGAATGTGGGATAAAGGAAGTGTTTATTAATAATTGGTGTTCAATCGGTGAAATGGTGTGCGTGGTGGTGTGAGATTTGGAGAAACTGTGCCAATAAAAGTTTGTGAACACGTGGAAATGGGGTGAGAGTTAAACCAAAACAAATCAGATAGAGCCACCCTACAAAAAACCCCACTAAATTCGAATTCGCCGTACCCAAAATAACACTCAGTTTCTAACCAAAATAACGACAAGAGGACTTGAAATAAATGACAAAATGGGGCACACTGAGGCAAAATGTAATGGAAAATGGAATAAGCTACTTAAGACCATTTTTTAAACTACAGCTCATTACGATTTTACCGTTGCTGTAACACCGAAGGATATTAGTTTTTGGGTAAGTTTTACCTCTGTACAACTCAACATAGAAAAGAGTGATATGCCGAGAAGGGGATGTTAAATCACACAGAGTTAAAACTTAAGTTCTACGATGGTATTATGTCTATTGCGTGTACGTCTTATGAGTTTTAATTCTGGGTGGTATTAAAAGGGGCGGGGCTAAAGACAAAAAAATGAGCTGACGTAATAGGCCTATGTCTTTAATGTACAGTTTTGAAAGATAAAACCTGTGAAGTTTTTGGATATTTCTTAATGGAATGCCCCCAAAATAAATTATTTGCAGCTGCAAGAATAATATTTATGATTATATTTATCGTTCGAGTTTAAAATGTTTTGACATAATTTTCAATTCTGAAAGAGTTCTTCAGTTTTGAGAAGTTATCGACAAGTTGTGCCAGATGCGCAGTACAGGCGTGTGGTTCTAGGTGATTTATCTACTTTTGTATTTCACATGAGTTAATGTTTTAGCAGATAACATTTTTCATTACAAGTGTTTGGGGCTGATATAGTATTGTGTTAATGTTAAACTTAAAAACAAATATCACCTTAGTGCGTAAAACTTGGAAAAAATGTTAAATACAACATAGGCATTCAAGTAAACCACTAGCTACGAAGCTTATTTTCAAAATCAGTCCAAAATTTGTTTACATTAAATAAGGACTGTAACCCTAATTCAATTTGTTTTTGAGGTAAAATTTAACAATGCAGGGGCGGATCAAGGATTTTTTTGCAGGGGGGGGGGTCAGGCCCGTCAGATTTTTTTTATGTTCGATTGTTGCGGACAGGCGGACATATAGGTCATTATTATTACAATAATGTCTTAATTTTCGTTTCGTTTTTGGTGTCGGAGCAGGGGGGAGGGGGTTCGACGACTGGATCCGCCCCTGCAATGTAAAACCGAGTTCCACATAACATACCACAGGCAAAAACGGAAACAGAATGCAAAGTTTGTATTATATATTTATTTTTCGCTAAAAATGCATTCTTCAGACGCCAATTCTCCATGCTGTTCTAAGTATATGCAAACCGTTGTTCTCTTGCATCCGATTCGAAGGTACATGTATGTTCAACTGATCTTATTGTATTAAAATGCCATGGGGTATTTTGTGTGGTGCTCGACGAAAGTATTGATGTATTAAGTTGATGTTGCATCAACATGAATGTTTGTAAATAAAAGAAGATATTTATTTAAATTTAGGCGTGTGTATATTTCCGGTTTGTCGCCTTTATCTATCCTTGTAAAAATGAGAGTCAGTAGTATGCAAAGGCCAAAAAGGAAGGACCAGATTTGCGATCCGCGGTGGCTGGCGGTGCCGATAGTAAATAAATTCCCAAAGACACACACACACGAACAAATTCTGCATAAAAATTATGATACCCCCCCCCCCCCTTAAATAAAATCAAGAAAAATATTCTCAAAACGGCCCAAGGTACTCTAGACAAATATCACTTATTAAAGCTTGATTATTCCTCTTTGACTTTCCGTTCATTGGGCTGACCCGTGACTTGGGGTGATTTTTCGATAGAAAGATGACTCCGCCCCTAAAAAGCAGCCTTGAAGTCCATCGCCATTTTGAAAATGATCTAGCAGTGTATTTACCATCCATTGCAAGATAGGGCGACTTTTCAGTCCAAATAATTTCCAATTAAGTGCATGGGCCAAAAAATGTAGACATGTATTCAACGGCGGGTCCGGGGGGGGGGGGGGGAGGGGGCAGATGAAGGGTGCCATCCCCCCTCCCCCCCCCGCACCCACAACGAAGCCAAACATTTTTTAAGTGACGTCGCAAAAAAAGAAGCCACTGCGTACACCACCATCTTTTGCTCAAAAACATTTGGTTGAAGTGGTCAGAAATTGCCTCAGATCGCACCACAGAGCGTCTACAATCCAACAATTTTTAGCGGCCCTTAAGCGGGCCCCGAGCCCCACGCAGTCAATTATTGGCCCCACTTTTTTGGGAACAATTTCTTTCTGGCCCACTCCCCCAAAATATCTGTTCTGGATCCGCCCTTGCATGCATGTATTATAACTTTTTGAAGGTAGCGATCATGGTTGGCGTTGGCAAGTTCTTGCATATTTACTGTGTATTTACCTTAATATGGGAGCAGGGACGGGTTCTTTTGGGGGGGGGGGGGGGGGGCGGGGCAAAAAAAGGGAAATTGACAGAAAAAAATATCGTATTTATGCTAAACACACAGCTATCCCGAGTGAGTCCCACCTGGATCCGTCCCTGGGGAGTTTCCATACTAGGCGATGAGTGCAAGAAAATTGTAAACAAAATATTTTTTTCATCTGGATCCGTCCCTGGGGAGTTTCCATACTAGGCGATGAGTGCAAGAAAATTGTAAACAAAATATTTTTTTCATTAATATTGACTTGTATTTATAGGCCTGCGATTGATTTTTGTTCGCGATTAATACACTGTATTTTCTTTAAATCATATAAAATTGATTCCTCATTAGTTCTCGTCAACTTTTAGACCTCTAATGTTACAAAACACGACCAATCTGTAGACGAGATTTCAAATCCATGCATAATGTTTGTTATGAGTTACGGTCTCCACAAAGAGTATGGCGTGTCAAACGTTGCAATATTCAATATTTTGCAATATATATGTTGGATGTTCAATATGTGTTTGTTATCTTTTACATTTATGTGCGATGTTAAATATAAGTGTGCGATGTTTTTCATTATTTGCGCGATGTTTAATATTTGTGCGATGTTTTACAATATATGGGCGATGTTCAATATATGTGTGCGATGCTTTACATTTATATGCGATTTTCAATTTATATGTGCGATGTTTTTGACGATATATATGTGCGATGTTTTCAATATTATGTTCGATTTTTTGCATTAAATGTGCGATGTTTTTCGATACAATTGTGTGTGTTGTTTTACAATATATTTGCGATATTTTCAAATATGTGAGCAATGTTTTACACATATGTTTGACATTTCGAGCTATTTGTATTCGATGTTTCATCGGTATGTTTGCATTCGATCTTTTGCAATATGCATTTGATGTTTCACTTTTCATTCGATGTTTCGCCTCAGTCCATCAATTGTAATTTGTGCATTTTGTTCGTTTGAAGCAACAAAAGAGTTCAAAATCTAATGAAGGATACTGAGCAACTAACCTGATGAAGTTTCAGCTAAGCTTCAGCTGTACATTCCGAGAAAAACAGCATTCTAAGATCTCAATTTCAAATCAAAAGTTACTGAATCATGTTTTGAATTGTTTTGAATTGCAGCTATACGCGACGTCGCGCACTGATCCGTAGAATTACAACAACCGCGCGCGCGTGTGCGTCGTTCCAATACTTGTGCGCGCTGCGCTGAATAACAAAACGAACTACTAATTTAAATTTTCCAACGGTGCTTCTTAAGAATCACCGTTGGAAATGCCTTCTTTCGTTGATTACTTCAAAATGACAGCTTCCCAGAAAGAATAATTTCACAGGGAGTTTAGTTCCCTTTCTATCTTTCAACCAAGTTTGTTTTTCAACAATAATTACGCCAGTTGCTTTTCGGATGGCTGCAAATGATGGACTATAGCTTTAAGAGTCAAAGTCTGGTTACTAGTCTGGTTACTAGACTATTTTGCCTAAAGTCATTGTATGAGACGTCAGGGGATCGCGTAAAGTGATTAGAGGCAGACCTAAACGGTAAAAACCGGAATTGTGGGTAATTCTTTAAGCATACGCAATGCGTTCATCATTGTTTGGGCAGTACCCCCAGCTGTGCCTGTACTACCCATAGTGTTATGTGCATCATCTATGCATTGAGGAGTGCATGACACATGGTCTGAGCTCCAAGGCCGATGTGCACCTGTCCCGTTTAATGATCCAGTTACCTGATAATTTGTTTGAAAAATTCCAGATGTAAAATTGGGCAAAATTAGATGCTTATGAAAAAAATCAAATTGTAAGGGGTTAACCTTGCATTTTTTTAGCAAAATCGGGAAAAATCAGATGTTTCTGGAAAATTGCAGATTGTATGGAGTTAGATGTTTATGAAACATTTCAAATTGTAAGGGGTGAACATTGCATATTTTAGCGAAATTTGGCAAAATCAGATGTTTCCGAAAAATTTCAGATGTAAGGGATTATCCTTGCTTTTTTATTGAAATTTGGCAAAGTTAGATGTTTATGAAAAATTTCAAATTATTAGGGGTTAATTAACCTTGCATTTTTAAAGCGAAATTGGGAAAAAAATCTGAGGTTTCTGGAAAATTGCAGATTGTAAGGGGTTAACCTTGCCTTTTCAAATACGATTGGGAAAATTAGATGTTCATGAAAAAAATTCAAATTGTAAGGGGTTAACCTTCATTTTTTTTTTAAAGCAAAATAGGACACAATCAGATGATTCTGGAAAATTGCAGATTGTTAGGGCTTAACCCTGTATTTCTAGCAAAATTGGGCAAAAAGAAATTTTTATGAAAATTTTTAAATTGTAAGAGGTGTACCTTGTATATTTAGTAAAATTTGGCAAAATCAGATTTGTATGAAAAATCTAAAATGGTAAGGGGTTAACCTTGCTTTTTTAACAAAATTTGGAGCATATTTAAATAAAATTGGGCAAAATCAGATGCTTCTAAAAAAATCCCGATGTAAAGTTTCCGCAAAAACAGCTGTTGAAAAAGAGCCCAATGTTGAACTTTACTGAGTCTGAGGTCTATCGAGAGGACGATCCTTATTTCAACTCTTGGAGATTCGCTGACAGTCTCTATTTTTCATTTTAAGAAAGTCGAAATAGCTGAAGAGGGAGGTGAGAATCTATATGTGCCCAGATACAAAGAGTAGAAATCTACGCGTCTGCCTTTTGAAAATACACAATTGCGGTGTTCATTGTTGCGTAATGATCCGCCTAGCACACGACTGTTTTGCACATTAGGCTGTGTTATGCAGCTTCCTAACAAACCAAACACACTGGGCTCATTATATCGACTTGTTTTTACCCATTAAGGTAAAGCAAATGGACCCAGTAATCTTCCTGGCGTGTTTGCTTACCTATAAAGATAACTTTTCTCAGTTTAAGGAAAATTCTAAGGTAACGAAATGGCCGAGTGGTTACGATTCGTCGTCCACGGTTAGCGGGGTCCCGGGTTCGAATCCCGCTGGTGTCTTTTTGGTTTTTAACGAATGAGTTCAATTATTCACTATAAGAGATTTAATTTCCCGTCGTAAAGTACCAACAGTACCTTAGCTTAATCGGTAAGCACTGCTGCTGGTACTGTCCGCGAGTTCCAGGTTGGCGCCTTCGTACAGGTTCAGGGCATGTGGTCCACTCGGAGGATCAGGGCTTAGGGGCCGCCCTGTTCCTCCCTTAGCTCTTTGCTTTTACATGGTGCCTGGCCCTCCGGGGTTATATGGATGGATAGGGAAGGAAGTGTGTATTGGTCGGGGACGCCGAGACTCCGGAAGAGAACTAAGGGATCGGCTGGGGCATTGTTATGGCTCAGACCGATCCCTGAAAGCTTGACTAGCACATAACTTTTTGATTTTTTTTTACCCTCTATCTTTTATACTTTGGTTTAGTTTGATATCTACAGCTGCTCGGCAGGTCTACGGGTAGTATCAAAATTGAAACAAAGGTGTATGTCATAAATCAATGAATATTTCATAATTGACTATAATCAAAACGGAGTTTCGTTTGATCAATTTGACTAGAATTATATAGGCCTAATGACGCGATTGCCAATTGACGTAAGAAACGCCATAAATTATACCAGGAAAGAATAAAGATGTACATTGTAATATAAATATTATTCATACATCTTTCAAATAACGTGTCTTTAATTGTGAGCATTCCAAACAATACAGTAATTCGCAATGGTATTAGAATGGTATATGATAGCACGATCAATGCGTCTCTATTAAATTTAAAAATATATAATTTAGGCCCCTATGTGTGAAATATTCTTTGATTGACTATGAGCATTCCAAACGAATGAGTTAATTCGCAAAATATAGCAACAACAAAAGAGAAAGGAAAAAGAGAAAATTCCTTTACCCTAAAAACTGGGAAAATAATTTGTTTTAAAAAAGTCAAATGGGACACTCCATGTATTGATTTAACAGTTTGCAAGGAGTTAGCTTTACATTTTAGCAAAATTGGGAAAAATCAGATGTTTCTGGAAAATTGCAGCTTGTAAGGGGTTAACCTTGCATTTTTAGTAAAATTTAGATGTTTA